CACGACATAAGCATAAGCATAAGAATATCAAAACCTCACATTCTTCTCAGGACATACTGGCATAAGCATAAGCAAAAGACTTTCAGCTATGTTGTCACTGAACATAAGCATAAACAAAAGAGGAATGTTTATGCTTATGTCACAGCCATCCTCAGTAGCGCATAAGCTTCTTTTCATGTTTATGCTTATGCTTGCGTCACAAGTGAGAATTGGGCTTTAAACTTCAATACAAGACCTTACTTTCAGAGGCCTGTATTTCTGGGGGTAATTTTTTTCTTGACAAAAGTGAGTTGAAATTTAGATGAGGCTTTCATTTGTAGCTCCACATGCACCCTGCTGAAACAAGAGAGTAGAGTTTCGTGTAACAAAATAGGCCCTCTGCAGCTAAGCCATCATATGACCTACTAACTTTTCATAAAATTATGGGCTATAACTGAAAGAATGCCAGAAATGGAAAAAGCATGTCGAAAATATCAAATTGGCCAAGATTGAGGCCCCTGGCATTAAGAATGAGATAACATTTTTATGGCAAGTTTGAATTTTTAAAAAATTAAGAAGATTTGTATGCAAAAAAAAAATTGTTGGAATGCAAGACATTATTCTCCAGCAACATTTTCCATAGGAACTCTCTAAATTTTCCGAACATTCAAACTGTCGTATAGCCAGCAATGCAAGCATATTTTGGGCACGTGAGTGCACATTTTCTTATTAGGCAGCCATCTTAGATTTGGTAACTATGGAGGATTGGTGCAAGGAAATATTTGCTGAGGGAGTAGGCATGAACAAGAGCATTCTTTAAGTTGTAGCCCATAACAAATTTTTTTTGTTAGCAAAAACGCTGTCATGTGACCTCAGCTGTAAAGGGCCTATTAGAAACCATGCAAAAAAAGTTAGATCTACAGAATCATTGGTATTCCATGCAATAAAGAGTACAGCTTACTGAAAACAACTTCAACAACTGGCTCTGATCTATCATTCTTGAAATTTGATATGACTTGGCACTTAGGGTTAGAGTCGATCATCCTTCTGCACGAAACTCTCAGAAGAAAGTCCCTGTGAAAAGACAGTCAATTTATAAAAACCTAGCTCACTTACAGTAAACAGGCTAACCTGAGTGCTATTCTGGCTTTTACACTCAAATAATAAGGCTGAGATCAATTTTTTTATAGATTTTTACCTTGCTGTTGATGTGTTAGGGTCGAAAGGACAGAACGAGACAGTCACCCTCGCTACTTGCTTCAGAGAAGCACCTCTGATGAGCGCCATTTTGGCAACCTCGTTACCAGGGCCCAGAGAGAGGACTCTGGGAACGAGGTCTCTTCTTACGAGCACGTGATGGAAGTGATTGATGACATCATAAGTAAACCTGTTTATCCGGTTTTCTTACCGCGATGAGTCGCTTTCGGCGCCATCTTTTCGAAGGATTGTGGAAGTCAGTGACTTTAAAATGCCAAGAAACGGTCGAAGAAAGCGCTCTCTCAGCTCCGGAGAGGGAAGTTTAGTTTCTTACTATTCGAAACATCGATGTATTGACAAAGAACATAGTCCTGTTTCTGACACTCGCCATTATAAACGTGGTAGTTCGACAGTTCGTTCTCGTGAGAGGAGACACAACCGTCATTTGTCAAGAAATCGAAGCCGCAGTACTAGACGAAGTGATCGAAGGTTGAAGCGACAGAAGTATCGCAATGTTCCCTCTGAGGTTTCCACGGTAAGAAACAATTTTCTCGATCTTTCGGGTCTGTAAATTTTACAATGAATTGATTTAAACACCGGAAAACGGTAAAGCTTACTTGTTTAGATCGTCAATGGGCGAAAAATATTTTAATTTATGGTTTTAGGCTAAAATACTTCAGTATATGTAGCTGCCAGTGATTTGTCTACCAGCCTTTCTTTATAACCGAAGGACATAGAGCTGTAGATATATTTCCAAAAGTAAAATGGTCCACGTTGTCGATTTCATTCGTACACGCGAAAATATGAATGAGTCACGTGCGAACAAAACAATTGGCTGTGAGAGAGATGGCTTGTACATATACGCAGCTTGGTTAGATGTCACAGTCAATCGGACGGTGTCAAAACTTTGGAATTGATCATTACATCAAAATTATAACATTTTTCGTGACATTCAAATTTGATGAAATGGACGACAATTTGAGAAAACCTAGGGAGAGGGTTGAGTTTGGTCACCTTTCTCAGATTTTGCTGTCTACATCTTTTGGTGCTGGGCGTCAGTTATGATGGTAGAAAAAAGTGCAATATGTAGTTTATGGTATAGTTTGCACTGTGATTGGATAAAGTGTACAGTTGTTTTCAAGCTTGTCATCTGGTAAGTAGATGCGCTTAGGGAATCGAAACAGTTTGTGGAGCTAGTTTTCTTCACGCCAGAGCAACTCTTACCCTTTTCTGATGCTGACCACATGCATCCAAAACATTTTATTAGTGTCCTTAACTTGACAAATTTCAAGATGGACATGCAGTCCATTTAGAATGATCCATATCTTTCTTGTACACTGTAGAATGGATTAAAACATACTGGCAGAGATACTCAGGGCGCTCAAGGTTACAAATGAAAAACATTTCTTAGGAGATAACTGTTTTTACAAATAAACTCATGTGCTTGCTGTATGTGTATATTTTGCTATTTTCTATATGTTTGAAAACGGGGTGGAACTCCGGACGTGAACATGCTGATGCAAATTATGATGGAATGAATTGCGGCCGTGCCCACCTGTGAAATATGTCTTTGAATGAATGAATCGCACTTGTGAAATGGATACGCTGCCGGTAACAGAAGACAACTTGCGAGGATGATCCGAGTAGAGGCTTTTCAAGCGTCATGGACGATGAAGACGGTCACCTCATTTATCACCAGGGCGACTTGCTGCACTCCAGATGTACTAATTTTTCTTGTTTCGTACAGTAACTGGTAGATACTTGTTACTATTACATCATAATCCTTGGAACTTTTTCTGACATTATGTAAATGAATGGTTCAAAACTATACCATGCCATTGATCGAGTTTGTTATCACAATGGGAATCATTGTGAAAATTGCTATTTTCTGTAATGTCTTGACTTGTAGGTTAAAAGTCATTAAACATTAATGGGCTTCAACTAATCTCTGCAAAGCATTTTCTAAAATACTTCTTGTACCACTTGTATATCGAACTCAGACCTTTTATGTAAAATTTTACATTGACACATCATAACCTGTATTACACTCAATTGATCAATACAGAGATGTTCTTGTCTATAAGGTTTTAACTTTGCTATTTGGCTCGGGTTTCAGATGAGATTGGCACTCTGTTAGGGGAAGGAACATTCGGCAAAGTCCTTGATTGCCATGACAGGTAAGATTATCACTAAATAGTGCTATTTCCAGCTTTCAAATCCCTGCCTTGATGGACATTTGATTTCTCCAAACACTATTGATGCATGTATGCTGTATTGTCACAAAGACAAGTGTCAAGAACACAGAAAATTGTAGACAAATAATAGTGTTTCGATTAAAAACAAATCCCCAGAACAGACCTTATAAGAAATAAATGGTAATCACTAATAATAATAAGTATAGTTTCAAACTTAGGGCTGAAATTTTTGCACACATTCTAAATTAAAACATATCTCTTTACAGGAAAACCAATACATATGTTGCAGTGAAAGTGATAAAGAATGTTGAGAAATACAGGTTTGTACATGTAGCATTCCAAAATAGATTATTGAAATTCATACATGTGTAAGAAATGAAGTATTTATGAAATCAGGGCTCGAGAAAAGTGCTGTCCAGTCATCCGGGACTGTTAGATTTTCCTGTTGGGCAAGTAACTTTTCATTTTCAGTTGCCCGATGGGCAAGGGCCCAAGCAAATCACAAGAAGACTATACTCGTCGTGAGACTTGTGGAGGGCAGCAAAAATTGGAGAGCTGCTTGTCTGAAGCTGTGAAATGTGTATTCATTTTATTTTTTTCACAGGGAGGCTGCAAAGCTTGAAATTAAAGTACTAGAGAAGATCCAACAGAGAGACAGAAATGGAAGGAGGTCTGGATATAACTTGGTTGTTTTTTCTTGTGTCCTGCATGCAATTGTTTGCTGAGAGTTATTGACAGACTTCTAAGTTTTACAGGCTATGAGATTGGTGCCACTTTATTAACCTATCAAGCATGGATAGTAATTTATTGAAAAATAAAAGTGGTGGCCTTATGGGCTAGTGAGTGGAAATTGCTACCATGAAAACAACAGATCTTTGTGGACAACATAGCTAGAGCCTTTATATTGCATATACTGTAACTTATTAAGTCAGATTTCGTAGATGGTTTTAAAACAGTGTCTGTGAGATAAGCCAAGTTTTGTATGTAACTTTATTGTTCCAACGTGTGAGTGAGATCAGTCAAGTTTTGTATGTAATAATTTATTTTGACATTTTTTTGTTGCAGCCTGTGTGTTGTGCTACTCGATTGGTTTAATCACCATGGACACATGTGCCTTGTGTTTGAGAAGATGGGCTTGAGTGTGTTTGACTTCATGGTAAGGACTTGTTCTTCTTCCTCTTGTAAACTACTGGTATGAACAGTCTTTCTTTTTTCTTGGTCTGTCAAGTGTGGCCCAAAAGAAAGCAGGAGATGAAAAGTGGTCACTCAAAGACAAGAAGGACAGACATTTTTTTTTTCTCTCACACTCAACACTGAGGAAAAGACGGGCCGTTTTGCAGTCTGCCCTTCTTGAACTTTTATCAGTGAGTTTTCAGATTGTAGACAATTCTGGCATCTCTGTAATAGTTCACCTCTTTACATTTTTAGAAGGACAACAACTATGAACCATATCCCCTGGAACAAGTCAGACATATTTCACATCAACTTGTTGTTGCAGTCAAATGTGAGTTATGCCTTGGCACATTTTTTCATCAAAGTCCATTCAATCCTCTAGACTGTAAATGTGTTGGAAAAAATGAGTCTTTGCTTGTTTGAATTAGAAATCTCCTACAGGGTGTAATAACATAAAATCTTGTTTTGAGCACTTGATTAGCATGTCTTCTTTCTGTATTCCGCATCTGCCGTCTTGTATACTGCAAAGCTTGGTAGCTCACTTACTCAAGGGGTTGCACAAGAGTGGGAACAAAAGTTTGTTACCAGGTCTCTGAAAGTGGACTCAATGAAAATCTCACACTATTTGTCTTTGCTACAACCCTGAAAAACTGCAGGCGTGGCTTTTTTTCCTTTTCACTTCACAGTTCATGATGCAAAGTTATAGTAAGTAAGACTGACAGTGGTCTGTAGTTCATTCTAAAAATATGGGTGGCTTATTATTCTTGAGCAATCGGCTTTAGTTGTTTCGGTGATATGTATTATCGTTCATTTCCAGTTCTTCATGAGATGAAAATGAGCCACACAGATCTGAAACCAGAAAACATGCTGTTTGTGAATTCTGACTGCAATGTTACCTACAATGCAAGAATGGTTTGTATTTGAAAATTTGTTTTGTTGCAATCACTGACATCAAATTTAATTAGCTCTTTTAATTGGCAATAAAGGGCCACATGGTTCCTTAGACATTACCATCACTCCTCATTACAGTGTCATAATCATTAGTGTTCCTGTTAGACGTATGATTTTCTAAATGCTCTTCTGTTTTCCTGGCAGAAAAGAGATGAGAGAGAAGTGAAGAATTCTGAAATGCGGTTAATTGATTTTGGATCAGCAACATTCGATCATGAACACCACAGCACAGTAGTGTCAACAAGGCATTACCGAGCTCCTGAAGTCATTCTTGGTAAGTTATCAAAACTGTTTACACCAACTTCCACTTGATCCTGTGCCCTCATGGATAGTGTGCTCGTCTCTGGATTGGATAGTCCAGGTTTGAGCCCCGGCCAGGGACACTGTGTTGTGTTCTAGGGCAAAACATTTTACTCTCACAGTGCCTCAGACTCCACTCAGGTGTATAAATGGGTACCAGCAAACTTAATGCTGGGGTAACCCTGCAATGAACTAGCATCTCATCCAGGGGGAACTAGAAATACTCCTAGTCATACTGGGATAATCTCTGGCCTGATGGGTCAAGATGTAATTCTGACAATAACATAAATTTGTGTTTTCAGACACATGAAAACAGAGAACATCTTGCAATGATGGAGAGAATACTGGGCCCTATACCATCACACATGGCTAAAAAATCAAGGTAGTAAAATGTCTTCAATCGTGATTTGTTGAAACACATGTTGGTTTGTACTGTACTGCAGCAATCAGTTGTCTGTCATACGCAACAAAAGCAGGTGTTTGATTTCTACAAATGTCAGTGTAATAAAGAGTAAGGGCTTTCTAAGGCGAGAAGAAGTTTTATGTTTTTTGGGGGGGTTGTTTTTTTTGTTTGTTTGGTTGTTTTTCTTTAACCTGAGATGATGTCTTGCATATTTTTAGGAAAACGAAGTATTTTTACAAAGGTAAACTGGACTGGGATGAGAGGAGTTCAGCTGGACGATACGTAAGGGACAACTGCAAGGCACTCAAGGTAACTATTTATTTATTTATTTATTTATTTATTTTTTGGTTGTGCACTGTTGATATTTGTTTCTTTGTTTTGGAAACGTGTTTGTACATGTGGTTTAGTTTTGAGCAGTCTATTTGCTGAGTTAGTTCTATTGGTTTGGTATCAGTAACTAAAAAACACGTTTTACCAGTTACTAAGGCTACTAGCTACTAAGGCTACCAGCAACTAAGGCTACCAGCAACTAAGGCTACCAGCTACTAAGGCTACCAGCTACTAAGGCTACCAGCTACTAAGGCGACCAGCTACTAAGGCTACCAGCTACTAAGGCTACCAGTTACTAAGGTTACCAGCTACTAAGGTTGCCAGCTACTGAGGCTACCAGCTACTAAGGCTGCCAGCTACTAAGGCTACCAGCTACTCAAATTCCTCCGGTGTAGTGTGGAGGGAGCCTAACGTTCAACGCCAAATGTAATTGTTTTTGTTTTTCATAGAAATACAAGCGTGGAGATGGAGAAAGCCACGAGCTCTTCTTCAATCTGGTACAGCACCTTTTGGAGTACGAGCCTGAACGACGTCTGACTGCAAAAGAAGCTTTAAGTCATCCATTTTTCTTTGGCATGATGTCACATTCATCAACAAATAGACACTCGCACAGCAAGAGTAGATGACTAGCCGCCAAAACATCGTGCTGTTTTGCGTCCACAATATTCTATTATGCTTTGCTTTTTATGGTTATTCTATTGTCAGTTACAAGCTCAATTTAGACAGCAAAGCAACTTTCCTGTCTTTCTATCGTCATCTCAACGTCGTCAACACTCGGGGTAACAAGTGCTGGCTTCGGAAAATCTTCGTAAAATCTTCGTGGCACTCGAAGAGTTTCCGCGTCTCGGTATCCAATCAAGATATAGAACAAGAACCCGTGAGTTCTCCGAAATCAGCAAATGAGCATGGCTCCATCAGAACACATCATGTCTGAGGACTTGTCTGACAAAAATGCTTGTTACCTCGCCCACCCCCAACTGTTCATAAGTCAGACAAAATGAAATATTATTTACTAATACATGCATAGTGAGGCTTTATAGTGGAAGCACAGCCGTACACGTAAATGTTTGATTAATCTGCTAGTGATCTTGCCTCTTGACACAACTGCACCCAGAAATGAAATTGAATAAATCAGGCTTCTAAAGAAACTGATTAAATAAGTGGACATTGTTCTTTACGTCTTTTAGAGAGAAGTTAATTCGTTGACAAGGAGGTCACGCAAATTGTTTCACTGATCGTATTATATATCATTAAAACAGCACTATCGTACTGAAAAGCTAAATGGAGGACGTATTAAAGTATTTTATACAAAGTTATTTTATGGATCAGCCATTGTACAGAATTACCATATGCTTGCATCTGTACAGAACATACTATCGTAGGAAAACAATAAATTATGAACTGTATATTATTTCCGCTGTGTTGGTGTATTTTATTGTCTATGGACTGATTAATGCAATCCCCTCAAGAGCACAATCTTCGAGCCTTTTATCTTCTTGAATGGCTACAATTTCGTACTCTAGTCTTCGTTCCTTACTGCGCGTGCTGGCTTGACGAAACGAGCGACTCTCGAAAGATCCGTCACCTGGTCACAGTCTCAAGTTTGATTGGTTTTAAAGAAATCGGATCTTTAATTGGCCCCCCTTTTTCCTTTTCCCCCTGTTTCCTTTTTAAGTGTGGCATCTTGATTCTTCTTAGCAGTTGTATCCTTTTATTTAGTACACGACCCTGCAAGCTTGTTAGCTTTGAAATTTCTTATCGCGCATAAGTAAAGGTATGTATGTATGTACCGTAAATCCTCGAATAAGCGCCCCCGTCGAATAAGCTCCCCTCCTATAGACCAAAATTTAAATAAGCGTCCCCCCTTCCCTCCCCCCATTTTGTGGACAAGTACTGAGACAACAAAGGATGTATAGCTTTCGTCGTATAGTATTAAAGTTGTACATTGTTTCAGTTTGTGAACACGTTAAGTTTGGAAAAAAATTGCAAGAACTAACGCTGCCGCGATTTTAACTTTAGGATCAGCTTTTTTGCGCCATTATCAAGGTTTACTAGCCGCAAGCTTAAACAAGACCTAAGCCTGTGTGAGCCCAAGCCTAACATCGTAACCCAGCAATGCGTTGTTTATTTATTCAAGTATGACCTGTGTGATGCAGATTATGTCGGGTACACAAAGGGCCACTTTCACACGCTCGTTGAGGGACACCGTCAAAAGGCGTCATCTATTTACAAACATTATTCCAAAAAACATATCGCTGCTGTTCCGAACAATTTCTTAGCACGCTTCAGTGTAATCAAGAAATGCACGAACAAATTTGATTGCCTTGTTAATGAAATACTTTGTATTCAAGATCTTAAACCAGCACTGAATGTACAGTCTGATACTCTACGTGCTAAAGTATTCATGTAATTAGCTTGGCACTCTCTCATATATATATATAGAGAGAGAGAGGTTGAATAAACAGAAGAAGATGCGAACTTTTCTCGTAGGAGGTCTTTAATTTAAGTGGACGTTTCGCCCATTCGGGCTTCTTCAACACTAAGAATAT